ATGTTCTTTTTTTTTTTTTTTTAATAAATTTTAACTCGTCGAGATGGAATTTTTCATTAAAAAAAAAAAAAAAAAATACCCCTTACAAATTTGTCATGAGGTGAAGCAGTTAAACAAAGTCAAAAAAATTACAAAGAAAACAAACAAAAATTTAGAGAACCGAATTGTGTAAACTTTCTCATTAATTATCAGAAAGCAGTTAGCATTAGTTACAGAATTAGTTACAGCAGTTAGCATTAGTTTCAGAATCTGTTATGCAGTTAGAGAATCACTTATGAAGTTATTAAGTTAGTTAAATCTGTTTTTAAGTTTGTTGAACAGCTGTAGTTTATACTCCATGCATATATATTCCCCTTTATTCCAACTTCTTCAATAAGAAAGAAATTCATTTTTGCAATCAATTTTTCATGATATCAGAGCATAGTTAATCTAGCCAAGATTCATCAATGGCAACTTCGGGTACTTCTGCTGCAACTTAGATTGATCCTACGCAAAATCCATCTGGCCCTTATTATCTTCATCCTAACGAAAATCCAGCTCTTGTTTTGGTATCTCCAGTACTCACGCCTACCAATTATCATTCTTGGGCGCGAGTGATGAAGATGGCTCTACTTTCCAAGAACAAACTGAAGTTCGTTGATGGTTCTATACAAGCACCTTCAAGCTCTGATTTTTGATATCCTGCTTGGGAGCGATGTAATACCATGGTAATGTCTTGGTTGACTCATTCTCTTTCACCTTCTATTACTCATAGTATTCTGTGGATAGACAAAGCTTATGATGTATAGAATGATCTTCGAGAAAGGTTCTATCAAGGAGACATTTTCTGAATTTCTGATCTTCAAGAAGAAATTTATGCTTTTAAGTAAGGAGATAGAAATGTTACAGATGACTTCACTAAACTGAAGATTCTTTGGGATGATATACTAAATTTCAAACCTATTCCTTCATGTTCTTGTGCGAGTCCTTGCTCTTGCGGTGCTATTACTGTTGCCAAAACTTATCAGAATAACGACTATGTCATCCGATCTCTTAAAGGTCTTGGTGATCAGTTTGCTATTGCTAGATCACAGATCATGCTCATGGAACCTTTACCTTCTATCAATAAAGTTTTTTCTTTGGTGCTACAACAAGAAAGACAAATGAATTCAGGAGTCTCAATGGCACCTTTAATAAAGCCATTTGAAATGATTCATTCAACAAGAAACATACTGGTACACAATCATCCACTAAGCATGCCAATGGTGATAAACGGTTCTGCACTTTCTGTGGAAAACCACGCCATATTGTTGAAACATGCTATAAGAAGCATGGCTATCCACCTAGATATAAACCCAGAAATGGCAATTCATTTGCTCATAATGTGATTTCTGCAGAAGGAAAATGAGTCTTCTGAAAATTCTTGCTCTAATCCTGTTTCGCCAAAAGAGAATCCTGACGCTGGTATCTCTCTGACTCAAGAGATATCAGCAAGTATTAGCCTTACTCCAATCCTCTAACATTGAGAAACTTCCATTGTCACCTCATTATACCAATCAAGTTGCCACTCAACATCAAACTTCCACCCTTGTTTCCAATTTTTCATCAATGTCAGGTAATCATTTTTCACTCTCTTGCTCATCTAAATCTGAACTATGGATTGTTGACACAGGTGCCACAGATCACATTACTCACTCGTCCTCCTTTGCGACATACAAGCAAATCAAACCTATTTCAATAACTCTACCAAATGGACATCGCATCACCACACACTATTCTGGCACTGTATTTTTCACAAATAGTTTAATTCTTACTAATGCTCTTTACATACCCGAATTCTCCTTTAACTTGATTTCTGTCACAAAACCTACTTCTTTGCTTCATTGTTGTCTTATTTTTCACAGCACTTATAGCTTGATACAATATTTGACCTCGTGGAAGACAGATTGGTTCAGCTAAAATGCAAGATGGCTTATACAAAATGCGTAGGTCCTTCACCAATCCTTCATTTCCATCTCGTGTTTCTTTAACTAGTACAAATACTGCCTTTGATGTCTGACACTATAGACTTGGTCATTTGTCGGATTCAAGAATCAAACTTTTGGCTCCTTATCTACCAACTCTTACATTTCATAACAATTCAAGTTGTACTATTTGGCATTTTGCTAAACAAAAGAAATTGCCATTTTCTATAAGCCATACTAGATCATATAAGTGTTTTGATATTTTACATGTTGATATTTGGGGTCCCTTTTCTACTCCCTCTATACATGGCCACAAATATTTCTTGACCATTGTTGATGATTGTACTTGGCATACATGGATTTTCTTAATGCAAAATAAGTCCAAAACAAGGCCTTTACTTCAATCTTTCTTTCCTTTAATTGGAACTCAATTCTCTGCCAAGATTAAAATTCTTCGAAATGATAATGGTTTTGAATTCAATATGCAAGTTTTTTATGCTTCTAAAGGAACAATTCATCAAACTTCATGTGTTAAAACTCCCAAGAAAAATGGTATTGTGGAGCGTAAACATCAACATATACTGAATGTGGCTCGGTCATTGTTATTTCAGTTCAATTTACCCAACATTTCCTGGAACTACATTGTTTTTCATGCGGTTTATTTGATTAACAGACTTCCTTCTCCATTTTTGCAACATAAACCACCCTTTGAACTTTTATACAATGAACCTCCAGATTTTACTAGTCTCAGAGTTTTTGGTTCACTTTGTTTTGCATCTACATTGTCTGCCAATAGGTCAAAATTTGATTCTCGAGCTCGAAAGTGTGTTTTTCTTGGCTATAAATCTGGAACTAAAGGTTTCATTCTTTTGGATATTGCTTCAAAAGATTTTTTTGTCTCTTGTAATGTCCTCTTTCATGAAACAATTTTTCCTTTCACTACAAAAGCCTTGTCTCCATCTGTACCTTTACCTCAAGAACCTCCTTCCCTTGATTATGTTATCTCATCAGTCCCTTCCTCATCTTCAGCTCCTCAATTATCTTCTCTACCTTCTACACCTTTACCCCAAGAATCATCTTACTTGATCATCCTGTTTCCACGTCTGATTCCCTTGTTCTTCATCGATCACATAGACTTCGAACAACTCTGTCTTATCTACAAGATTACCATTATCATCTTGCAACTTCAGCTGATCTTCCTCGTCTCCACTCAGGTACATTGTATCCTTTATCCTCTGTTATTTCTTACTCCAATTTATCTCTTTCACATAAACATTTTACATTAGCCATTTCTACTGCCTTTGAACCTAAAACTTATGCCCAAGCCATTAAGCATCAATGTTGGAGAGAGGCCATGGAAGTTGAAATTGCTACTCTTGAACAAAATCATACATGGGTTCTCACTGATCTCCCTCTTGGTAAGTCTGTAGTCAGCTACAAATGGGTTTATAGAATCGAATACAAGGCTGATGGATCTATTGAAAGGTATAAGGCACGACTAGTTGCAAAGGGGTATACACAAACTGAGGGTGTTGATTATTTTGATACTTTTTCCCCTGTTGCTAAACTCACTACCGTCAGATTACTTTTAGCATTAGCAGCTGCTAATCAATGGCACCTCAAGCAACTTGATGTTAACAATGCTTTTTTGCATGGTGAACTCACTGAAGAAGTATACATGGCTCTGCCTCCAGGTTTCACTTCCTCTAATTCTAATCAAGTTTGTAAGCTTCAGAAGTCTCTTTACGACCTTCAACAAGCTAGTTGTCAATGGTTTTCCAAATTAGCATCTGCCTTGCTTTCTTTGGGATATCTTCAATCTAATTTTGATCACTCCTTATTTGTTAAACATGCAGCTAATTCCATCACTATTATCTTAGTGTATGTTGATGATTTAATTCTTGCTGGAACTGATTTGGTGGAAATTGATTTTGTTAAGGCTTATCTTCATAATACTTTCAAGATTAAAGATTTGGGGAATTTAAAGTTCTTCTTGGGTTTGGAAGTGGCCAGAACACACAAGGACATTGCTTTATGTCAACGTAAGTATGCACTTGACATCTTATTTGATTCTGGTTTCCTTGGTTCCAAGCCTGCCAAGACTCCATGGACTCTTCTTTGAAGCTTAGCTAAAGCCTTAGGGATCCTCTTCCTGATAATTCTTCTTATAGGCGATTGACTGGACGATTACTTTACTTAACTACCACTCGTCCTGACTTAGCATTTGCGATACAACAATTGAGTCAATTTCTGGATAAACCAACTTCCGCTCATCTTCAAGCTGCTCATCGAGTACTCCGCTACGTCGAAGGCTCTCTTACATCTAGTTTACTTTTTCCAGCTGATTCTTCTTTAAGTCTCAAAGCCTTTAGTGACTCTGATTGGGCTCTCTGTGTTGATACTTGACGCTCTGTCACTGGTTTTTGTATTTTTCTTGGTTCTTCCTTGATCAGTTGGCAAGCTAGGAAACAACCCACTGTCTCTTGTTCCTCCTCTAAGGCTGAATATCGCGCACTTGCTTCTACCACACGTGAGCTGCAATGGCTTGATACTTGCTTCAAGACTTCCATGTCCCTCATCCTCATCCCGCTTTACTTTTTTGTGACAACAAATCTGCTTTGCGAATTGCTGCTAATCCAACTTTTCATGAACGCACCAAACATATTAAAATCAATTGCCATGTTGTTCGTGAAAAAGTTCATTCAGATCTCATTAATCTCATGCCATGCTCTTCTTCTTAATTCATAGTTAGCCGATATCTGCACCAAACCTCTTGGTGCTGCTCCCTTTCAACTCATTCTATCCAAGCTGGGAATGATCAATCGTCCATTCTCCCCATTCTCCAGCTTGCGCCCGGGCGGGGGCCCGGGGGGGGTGGGGGCGGTCGTCGGGGGATATCAAAAAGCAGTCGTCGGGGGATATCAAAAAGCAGTTAGCATTAGTTACAATAATTAGCATTAGTTACAGAATTAGTTACAGAATCTGTTATGCAGTTAGAGAATCAGTTATTTAGTTAGTTAAATCTGTTTCAAGTTTGTTGAACGGCTGTGGTTCATACTCCATGTATATATATTCCCCTGTATTCCAACTTCTTCAATAAGAAGGAAATTCATTTTTGCATTAAATTTTTCTTTAATTTCTGTTTTTATAATCACGGCGTGATTTTAGGATCAACAATAACTTATCTTTATCAACTTGCTAAGCTGTACTAACAAATGGCTGACCTGGACTTTCACACAAGGCTTATGCTACGACACTTTCATTATTAGTGACTTACAACTAACTTTGTTATTTTAACTCTTTAAGCTATAAACAGTAGGCGAAAATCTTGGCTTGACCTTCTTCTTCTACAGAGTCAATACGAGGTCTCCTTGCCTTCCACTCATGAGCTGCTTGAAGAAGAGTCAGTGACAGCACAAATATCCCATCTGCAGGTTTTTGAAACCTAAATGAAGTTAGAATTACATTGAGGTATTTAAAAATGCAATCATAAATTCCTCATCTCAACTCCCTTCTAACATAATGTTATAATTACAGTATAATCAAATCAAAAGATATATAGTTAAGCACCACTCTAGATGAAGGGTTTCAAGAGTTTGGATATAGCACTTGCAAGCAAAAAAGTCTGAACTCAGCAGTGCAATCATAGACAGAGTATCCCTGCCAACAAACCATGTAAATGACGTAATAAGTTTGATCGGACTGCACCCAACAACCACAACCGCTATGAGGTTTTCAACAAACATTGAGGCAAAACCAAGAAACAAACGGATTGTAAGAAATAACAAAAATAAAGTAAACCTCTTGAAATATGCAGTCAAGTATACAATAGGATTCAGAAGAGCCCAGACTGGTCTTGAGTTCTCGCCCCACAAGGCAAAGCAGATGGGAAATGATGCAAAACAGAGCCATTCCGTAGCCTACTAACTGTTATTCCGTTTGAAGATACCACAATGCATCTTTTTCCAGCAGGCCTTGTCAATACATACCTACCAATAAAACGCAAAATCACATAAAACACACACACACACACACACACACACACACACACACACACACACACACACACACAAAGAGTGAATATTAGAAAATTCAATCATAACAAAACCATGGGGTACTGTATGGGGAGAATTTAGTACTTGGTTGTCAATTTTTCAATGTCCTATGTAATAATTTTCAAGCAGGTTTGGACATTGCATCTAAAAGCTTCCCTTTGTCCAGCCACAGGCAATGTGTAGTAATTCTTATTTTTCCTTTCCAGATATTTTCGTTTAGACTCTATTGAGGGCGTAAAACTTCCATGCTGGAGTGGTGCATTGTCAAGATGAATTTTGCATACAACAAATATATGTAATTATTTAAAGATTAAAAGATCTACCTGACCACAATATCTCCATCTGAAGCAATTCTTAGTCTCTCATCAATGCAGAGTTCGGTAGTTTTGCCAAATGCTTTATCACCATCACTATACATCAACTGCAATATAAAATAAAAAAGTTATCAGTAGTTTTGCCAGTTACTATCTCATAATAGACAATGAAACTTCAAATAGCTACTAACCTGCAAATTCTCCTTCCCAAGAGAAATAAAACCGATAGAAAGTACTCTTCTATTCCTCGAGTGGGAAACACCAAGCATCTTCCATTCTTTATAACCTGATATGATTGCACGAATTACATTTCAGGTACCATACTTTAGACTTTTTTGATTATGGATCTACTATCAGAAATTCAATGCGTAATCTTAGCATTCAATGTGTATTCCTGAATAATCTCATTTTTCAATTATTCAACCATTTCATTTTACCAAGTTCAATGTTAGCCAGATTAGTCAACATTTCTATGTTTCGATGCAACAACAAGATGTTATTTGTAACAAGTAGTTTTGTTGGTTGGTTAATTGGTCACATTTTATTCATGAAATGGGTTGGGGCTCATTCAAGACTTACTCGAACAATTACGCAACAGAAAATAAGAGCTTTGTCTTCGGCTCATCATGATAGAGATAGGAAAAAAAGAGATTTTTGTCGTTTGTGGATCACTCGAATAAATGCAGTAATTCGGCGAAATCGAGTATCCTATATTTATTGTAGATTAATACACAATCTGTATAAGGGGCAGTTGCTTCTTAATTGTAAAATACTTGCACAAATAGCTATATCAAATAGTAATTGTCTCTATATGATTTCCAATGAGATCATAAAATAAGGAGGTTGGAAGGAATCTTCCAGAATTAAGTTAAATTTTTTTTTGTGGTGACCAATTAGTTAGTTAATTTATCAGAATCAAAATAAATAAAGAATGGACTTTTCTTTGGTGACATAAGATTTAATTGTATTTGTATAAAGAATCAAGCGGATAATTATGTCAAAATAAAATCACAGTACATATATCCTTGCTAGTGAATCATGCACCAATGCAATTAGACAAAACAGATTTTTTGTCACATTGTTACAAATATTTGGTTAAGGGACAAGAAGACCCATTGAAATGCACTAAATAGGAGTCTTCTATAACCAATTGACAAAACATATGAGGATGTAATACAAATTCTCATTTATTATATGAAGTCACCAAAATCATATCGCATGAAAAGGAAACATGGACTCACTGTACTATGTCGAATGCCAGTTGATCTCCCAAGGAGTTCATGCTCTTTTAGAAACAACAGTTCTCCATGAATGGGTAGAAAATGGCGTGGCTTCACAATTTTAAGAACTTCCTCCTTCAAATAGAAATTGCTTGATTAGAATCGTACTATAAATAATCAGTGTTCATATCATTCTAAATAGGTTGATCACATGAGAAAAATAAAATAAACTATAATAATAAAAAAAAAAAAAAAAAGACTATACGAAATGTATAAGAAATCTTACAAGTTCACCACAATAACCATGGCCAGATGTATGCAGCCCTTCGTACCTATTACTATAGTTGATCCAATCTCGAATATGCGATTTAGCATTTTCATTACACGAGATTCATTACCAGGGATCAACTGAAGATAAAAATACAACCAACCAAAAAGTCTCAAAATCTAATAGATTGCGGCAAGAAACTGTGNATTAAGTAAAACCAAACAAAAACATAATGAAAAGGATTTCCATTTATCTTTGTCGTGAGCTTTTGTGAAGAAATGACCCCAACTTCAGTCAAATCTTTTCTCAAAGTATTAAGCACATAGAATTTGGACATGTTCGCCACAAGACAAAGAGGGATATTTATAAAACCCCACACTTTTTTGTGAAGCCTCCAATTAGAATCAAATATATATACTTGGGCCAAATTCATCGAAGAGACTTAAAAACACCGGCTTTAGAGTTTAGAGTCAACACTTGGCCCAAATTATCCAAGGGACGTAGAATCGGTGATATAACTTGAGAGGAGATTAATGTTGACCAGGTGGTCTCATGAACGTGAAGTTTATTATGGTAGTTCGAAGTTTAACTAAATGGTAGAGTTTGAAACGTTGTAAATTAGGAAGTGTTCTTATAACTGAGATTTAATTTTGATTTTGTAATTGAACTGTAAATATTTACCATAATTGATTGGCTTCATCTGAACTTGACCGTATAAAGCTAAGTATTTTGCTAATCCATATAAAAACCCCTTATATTCTTTATTTCGGTAAAAATGAAACACAGTCTAAGACTTTAATGTAACAACGCTGGATGAAAGAGTAACATACATGCATGTGAAAATGATTACAGAGCAGGTGGCAGTAGGCCCAAAACCACCCTAACTCAAATGGAACTGTGGTGGTGGCGGTGGTGGTGGTGGGGCTGTGATCTGCAGATAGTATTAGATGGTGCACGTGAGTATGATAAAGCTGCAGCAGGCTACAACCAGTTTGACCGAAGACAACTGCGAAGAATTAAGTGTCAGTTTATGATTGGTTGAATAAGAAAAAGATAAAGTTACAAATTACCCACATCGAATCTCGATCTGAATGTGACCAAAAACAGAAGCAGAGAACAAGTTTGCTTTTAATTCTCAGGCCCAAATAACATTTTGACCCCCAATTTATGGTGAAAGAACTTTTCCCTTTGATTATCCTGAATGTTTAATATTTTTTTTTTTTTAATGAGTGAATGATAATTTCCCACCCAAGGTTTGCCATAATTTTCCACCAATAAACTTTATTAAATATATTTTTTACCCCTATCTTGGTTTATATTAACTTTAGGGTTAATAAATTAAAATCTGTTATTGAAAAGGTTTATTCAAAAAAGATTCATACGTAAAAAAACAGATTAACTCATTATCAAAAAGAAAAACAAAATCTTTTTGAAACATACCCATTACTTAATCAAAAATTGAATTTTCAAAAACACTATAGATATGATCTTTTATCATATAAATCTATTAATTTTGAGTCCCAATGTTTTAAAACCCGACCCGGCCCGACCGGTTCAACCAGTTCAATCGGGACCCGGAAGCTTCAATGGGCCAGGTTTAATTTTTTCCTATTCGCCCAATACCTTAGGATTTTCGGTGATGATCGGCGAACAATTAACTATCGGAATGTTGGGGCTTTTGAAAAGCTATTTCCAGTGAATGTAATGGTGGTGAAAGATTTGATTTCCGGTGAGTAAATTGACCGGAAATCGAATAAAACTGGCACCGGCAACGATGAGATTTTTTCGGCGATTTACGAGGCTAACGAGGGTGGGGTTAGGGGGGTTTTGGTCGGGAAGAAAAGGGGAGTAATTCTGGGGTGAAGGGAAGGGTTGTTGTTGTTGGAATCGATGGAATCTGGCTTGGAATGCCGACGTCGACGTCGGTGAGATCTGGCCGAAATTGAACCTATTTCAGCCAGATCTTGGGTATATTTTGATGGAAATGGGCTCAAGGGACGATTGGGGTTGCATCTGGGGTGTCACCGCTGCTAATCAGTCGCAGGTCGATTTGCAGTTGGGGTGTGTTTAATAAATTTCAAACCTATAGGGACTTCCCTGGAATTTTTAGGGGTATATTTGCTGAATTTTAAAAGTTTTTATCAACTGGTCAACCCAAGACCCAGAAGCTTTCCCGGGTTTCACCTCGAGTTGGGTTTTAAAACATTGATTTTGACGATAAGAAAGACTCGTCTATTCATAGATCACTAGTCTAAGTAAAGAATGAAGAAGAAAGTTTTCATAATTACAACATAGGAAAAGGAAAATTGTTTGGTATGCTAGGAAGTATCCTTATCAATAATTATTTAGGGGAAGACAATATTATAGATATAAATAAAATTTCAAATAGAAAATATTTTGATTGGAGAATTCTCAATTTTTGTCTTAGAAATAAGATCGATATTCGATTTTAAAAATTAAAAAAAAATAATAATTGGTTGTAATCGCGCCCAACCGAGTGCAAATAAGCTAGAATCAATGGTGCAATTCCGACCAACTATTCTTTTTCAGTTTTTTTATTTTATTTTTTTTCAAAATTTCACAATTTTTTTTTTTTTGGATTTTTCTTCCCTTTTCAATTTTTTTCGAAATTATATTTTTATATAATTTCATAAAATATATATACAATTTAATAAAATATTGTTTTGTAGTTTTATAAATACTTAATTGACAGATATTATTATAATTTTTAAAAATAATACATACAATGTTAAATTTTTTTAGAACCACACATATTTTAATAGTGAAACTGCCAATATAATTATAGAAATTGAAGATAGGGGTTTAAATGACTAATTTCCAAGTTGGTGAAGGTAATTTTATGTGTTTATAATTTAAGGGTATAAATAACATTAACCCTATAATATATATTGTGCGAACGGACAAGAATGCCATTTTGCTATTAAAACTAGTGTCTGAATTTAACGATGAGTGGGGAAATATTTTTTTTCAAAGTTTATGGGTAATTACAACAAACTTTGGGTGGGAAAATGTTATTCACTTTATCTTTAAATTTTGAATTCAGGGTGTTAAAATTTTGCTGTTTAAAAGACAATCTTGTCAATTNAAAAGACTTTCCATTTAAATTTTAAGAAGTCTAAAATAGTAATTTGTCCGACTTTATATCATAATCAATATACAATTTTTGACTTGAATATCAAAGTTATTATCACACAAATATATTAAAATTCTAAAATCACATGAAAAAAATTACAAAAATATAAAATAAAATGATATCGCCCTGTCTTAACATATCTCCTAAAAGCACAAATTAAAGACAAACAAAAAAGAAGATATTTGTCACATTGAATCATTGATGTATTAAAAAATATTTTTTTAAAATAAAGTACATCAAAATAAATTTTGTATTTAAATTTATTATTTTTATTAAAAATTTAAATTTTGTCACACCTAAAAATTGTCTACCAAGTAGAGGTGGTTAAGGACCAGTCTCAAGCAGCCTGGGCCGAGTCCTTGTTCCAAATGGGATTAGTTGCTTATGGGCTTAAGACCGATAGGACCCAAATTGGTATAGGTCTGAAAAATTTCTTTTTCCCCATGATTTTTTTTTTTTAATATTTTAAGGGCGAAACTAAATTTTGTAAGGGGTTTTTAGTATTTTTTAGGCGTAAAATTTATAAATTTTATAAAATTTTCAGGCCTAGGAATTTTTTTTTTTTATAAATTTTGTAAAATTTCTTTTTAACCTTTATAATTTATGTTTATTTTAAAATTTATAAGAGGTTTTAATAATTGTGTAAGGGACTAAAATAAAATATTTAAAAAAATTTAGACCCAGGCTTGGGACCGGGCCTTGGAGGAGGGCCCAATGAAGGAACCAGACCCTCCTCCTTAGGCCGACCAGACCTCCAAAGATCAGGTTTTTAGGCTAAGTTTGTATAATATTCTATCTATATATATATATATATTTTAGCTGAGTAGAGTTGTTATGAACAGTGAACACATACATGAAACAACACATTTTCAATGATTTAAATAAAAAAATAAAAAAATAATGTTCAATTCTTCCCCCACATACTTTGTTATCAAAAGCTGCCAATTTTCCAACAAAATTCCAAAAGCAAATCTGTTGCTCACTCTCACTCCATTTCTCTTCTTTTGCTTTCTTTCCTTTCTTCATTCATGCCCTCACTTCTCTCCAAATCATTTCTCTTTCTCCCTAAAACCCCCCTTCCTTCCGTTGCCAACTTCTCTTCCAGGTCCAGGATGTCCACCGTCACCGCCTCCCCCAAAGCGCGCCTTCGCGGCGTCGTTTTTGACATGGATGGAACCCTAACGGTTCCCGTCATCGACTTCGCCGCAATGTACAAGTCCGTTCTGGGAGAAGAGGAGTACACACGAGTTAAAGCGGAGAGCCCCACTGGCATCGATATTTTGCACCATATTGAGAAATGGAGCCCCGATAAACAGCGCCAAGCGTACCAAATTGTCGCCGATTTTGAACGCCAGGGCCTTGACCGCCTCCAAATTATGCCCGGTCTGCCCACTTTTCTATTTTTTATTTTCCGTTCTTTTACTTTTGTTTCGCGTGCTGTGCGTGCTTCTTAATCTGTTTGGTTGCTGAGAAATTGGAGGAAAATGTAGGAAAAAAAACAAAGGAGAATAAATAGCTGGCTGATTTTGAATTAAAATCCAAAGGTTTACATTGAGTATTCAAATACCAAGTTGTACGGTAAGAATATAATCATCAGTAATTGGGATTATTAGCTCAGAGCAGGAGATTTTTATGTGTTTTTAATGGTTGGGATTTTATTGTTGTATAATTTGAATATGATATAAGTTTCGCAAGAAGCTAATAAGTGTGTCTCTGTTCTGTTCCTGCACTTTGATTTGTTTTTGTTTATACGGATATTGTTAGTGATTCAGGTTGTGTTATGTGGTTAATGATGGTGCAGGTGCAGCACAGCTTTGTGGGTTTCTTGATTCAAAGAAAATAAGGTCAAGTTTGATTTTAATATTTAGTTCATTTTGTATATTCAATAACTTCATGGTGTACCTGCTGAATTTATGGGACTCTCCTTATACTTCGTGTAGTTTACTTTGCTTGGGCTTTTCGTACTGTTAATGTAGTGTCTTTTATGATAATGGAATTGGCCGAGTAGAAGTCATGTTGTAGTTGTTGTGACTATTCTTTGGTTTCCTTTATCCAGAAGGGGATTGATAACTCGCAATTTTAAGGAAGCAGTTGATATATTTCATCAGCAGTTTGGGGTAAGTTTTTTTTCTAAGCGTGTTACTGGGATATTGTACAAGTTTTTAATATTAAACATGAATTTATTGATATACAAATGTTTGGATGATATCATTTGTTTATTGTGTTTTAATGAAAAGGTTACCATGGTCGGAATATTGAGGGAAGACCCTAGTCTGTGTAAATTGTAATTTTCCAAGTGAGTTTTCATTCTGGGTGGCGCCAATCTATGTGCAGAAAGTGCTGTACTTGGTCCAACATAAAACTGACCTTGTGAAGTAAACTTCAAGGTGGTATACAGTTTGCTTGCATTTTTAGAGAGATACCAGAACCTATGTCTGACTAATTGGCATTTTCATCCCATATGAAACATTTCTGGATGTGGGGGGGTGTGTGGACTACTTAATGGCAGGTTTTAAGTATCATATTCAAACAGACTGATTTCAACCTTCTTACATTTTAGTAGACTAAAAGAAATGGATAGATTATGCTCTTTCCCTTTTCAGTATGGCTCGGTCCTTAGATTTATTTGTGGCCCTGAGGAGCTGTATGAGGTGAAAATCTCATGTAAGGTTTTGTAATAGTGATGGGAACAGTAATGTTATCACCGACTATGATTATCTATAATCTGATTTTGGTTCTAAATAAATTCACTCCAAGAATCCCTAATTTGAGCTTTGTTAAGTTGCAACTGACTATTATAATTTATAAATGACTTTTATTAGCTCAGCAATGTATCTATTCAGCTACAATTGTTTCTGGTGTTTATTTCTCTCTCTCTCTCATCAGTAGCAAACTTCTTGTGAGGGAAATATCCTCTTGATTTTTCCTCTTACAAAGATTCTCATTTTTTTTTAATAATTTTTTTTAACCCTCATCCCACCCCACCTTAGCCAAATTCAAATCAGTCCCTAGTATGAGGGCCATTTAGCTGTAAGGTCTCTTTTACTATTCCAAATGATTTAATCATTTGAATTACTCCAAATTTCTGCTCGAAGTGTAATTATAAATCTTTTAAATTATTTGTCATTGCTGCAGGTAACATTTTCTCCTGCACTAAGCAGGGAGTTTCGTCCTTATAAACCAGATCCAGCTCCGCTACTACATATTTGTTCAACATGGGGAGTTCAACCCAATGAAGTCATGATGGTTGGGGATAGCCTGAAAGATGATGTAAGTCTTTGCTTACGGTGATCAAAATAAAATGTCCTTCATTTGCTTTTTGTCTTCTTAAAATTATCAATGGTCTGTGTCATGCATTGAGATGAGTGGGTCCAAATTGGCTTCCATAGTAGTATTAAAGAGGGAAAAAAGATCTTAGAAATCCAATTTTATTAGCATGTTTTTTGTTTTTTCCATTAACAAATTTATGATGCTTCTGACTTACTAAGGGAGTTATTAATTATTGAGTGTTTTGCTAAATAGAGACCGATTCTGTTACCTGGATTTTTGCAGATTGTTTGTGGGAAAAGAGCAGGAGCATTCACATGCTTGCTTGATGAATCAGGGAGGTATAGTATCACTGATTTTGCCAAGTTGGATGCACAACCAGATTTCAAGGTGTCTTCTCTCACTGAGGTTTACTCGCTATTAGAAGCAAATTTTGACCTGACACCATGATTTCCAACTCTGTGAATAAACTCTATCCTGGGAAGATGTAGACTAGGAGTTCTGATATTTTGTTTGTCAATGGTCCCTTGTATTGTCCATTAAGTGTAACACCTTTCACCCACAATGAGCTTTGAAGTATAACCTCTGGTCAAAATTTGCTTACAATAAAGAGTAAACCTTAGTACACAGAGAGCTACGGGAATTTCAGAAATTCATTCTAATATGCAAATTCTGTTCCCAGAATAGGGGTATTAACTTTTTGGTTTGTGACGGGATTTGCTGGACATTACCAAGAAATATATTTTTGTGGCTAAGAATTAGGAGTTATAGGTAAGTTTTGTCAATTTTGTATTATATGTCAATTTCCATACACGAATGATCCTCAGTTAGGCAAGCAAAACCATTGTTGTATATGGCTATATGCTGCTTGTGTAAAAGAGTTTTATCGATTTTCATTTTGAATGAAATGCTGTGATGATGGTGAAGAAAATTCAAAATTGTTGATGGCGAGTGGCGACTTTGTTTCTCTTTAATGTCCTAAACTCATCTTGAAAACTTCTTCAAAGACAATTTCTTTTTTCAGGTTCATCATATCTTCTTCAGAAGGTTTCATGTTCATTCAATGATACATTCGTGAAATTATAAGAATTGTTCAAAAAATTTTGATTGAGAAGTAGTGGCAAAATTTACGAACGAAATCACGAATGGTACAAAAGTCGCCCACCGTGGGGCTCGAACCCACGACCACAAGGTTAAGAGCCTTGCGCTCTACCGGCTGAGCTAGACGGGCTTCTTTGGTTTCATATTATAATAAATTATTCTTTATCATTTTCCGTTACAGTCGTTTTCTTTATGATGATAAGAGAGGTTAACTCACATGACTAAGAGTATATATATATATATATATACAATAATGCTACGGACACCGGGATTTTTGCACCAAAATATTGTACCGACATACGTGTAAGACATCTCTAAACTTTTTAACAATTTTTTTCTAGTGAACGGTCGTCCATCAAATTTGGATGGCCGTTCACTCACATGGACGCCCGTTCATATTATATGGACGGACATCTATATTATATGGACGAACGTCCATACAAGGGACGGGCATCCCCCATAAATAAAATACAATAAAAAGTTTTTATAATTTTTTTATTTTTTAAAGTATGGACGATGGACGCCCGTCCATCCTTAAAAAAATAAATAAAATAAAATAAAAATTCTAAACATGGATACTGCTTCTTTTTCTTCCTTTCTGAAATGTTTACCTTCTTCGCTCTTCTTCTTCTTCAAGCCAAGCCAAAACTGATCGCCTCTGCAGCCACTATTAATTTACTTTTCCAGATAACCATGATCTCTCTTTACACGCTACAAACTAAACCATAAAACCAATGCCAATAACTCAACTAAAGCAAACATAAGTCTACACATTCACAACAAACAATTAAAAAGAATATCTAGATAAACAAGAGATTTCAAAACAAAAACTAACTATCAAAACAATTTACTTTTCTAGAAGGGACTTCTGTGGCGAGGAGTTTTTGACCTGGGCACTGGAACCAAAATCTAGCATTAACCTCCCATCCTCTACCTTTGTTTTGAAATCTCTTGTTTATCTGGATATTCTTTTTAATTGTTTTTTGTGAATGTGTAGACTTATGTTTGCTTTAGTTGAGTTATTGGCATTGGTTTTATGGTTTAGTTTGTAGCGTGTAAAGAGGGATCATGATTATCTGGAAAAGTAAATTAATAGTGGCTGGAGAGGCGATCAGTTTTGGCTTGGCTTGAAGAAGAAGAAGAGCGAAGAAGGTAAACATTTCAGAAAGGAAGAAGAAGAAGCAGTATCATGTTGAGAATTTTATTTTATTTTATTTTTTTAAGTATGGACGGGCGTCCATACTTAAAAAAAAAAAAAACTTTTTATTGTATTTTATTTATGGGGGATGCCCGTCCCTTGTATATGGACATCCGTCTATATAATATGGACGCCCATCCATATAATATGGACGGACGTCCATGTGAGTGAACAGTCGTCCAAATTTGATGGACGGTCGTTCACTAGAAAAAAATTATTAAAAAATTTAGAGATGTCTTACACGTAGGCCGGTACAATATTTCGGTGCAAAAATCCTGGTGTCCGTAGTATTATATATATATATATATTCTTTGCGTGGTAACGGATTTTACTCATAAGTGTATTAATCTTTGTTAAAATCACACATAGTATTTTTTTTAGAAAATAATAGAGCCATTAACGATAGTGTACCGAATTTATACACCAAATGACGTATTAAAATTCTGACGATTGATTAATTTTAACTTAATATTAATAAACTATCAGAATTTTATCACATCATTCGGTGCATAAATTCGATGCATTATCATCGTTCGCGGTAACGTTACTTTTTTTTTTTTTTTTTTTTTTTTTCCAGTTACAGTCTTTTTTCTTTCTGACCCTAAAAGTCGTTAACCATAGCCCACATGACTAGAAGACCTCTAACCGACGGCCTCAGTGCTCAACGCCGATTGGCCACTCCATGACTAGAGAATTCACCCCACTGTCTATAATTAAACCCCCTCTGAAATCCTTCATTTCCTCCTCCCCTGCATTAACTTGAAAACAAACTCAAAGAAAAATTACTCTGAAAACTGAGAAAGAAAATGCTTACCGAGAAGAAGAATCCACTCCCAGAAATTCCTACTATCCAAGAAGAAGAAGAAGAAGAAGAGCTCCTCCTTCTTCAAGAAACCGCCACCATGGACTCTTCCTCCTTCTTTAAAGACGATCCCACCGCCACCACCGCTACTGGCTTCTCTAACCTCCACCTCACCAACCACCATTCTTGCTCCTCCTGCGGTTGCAATGGAAACTCCGCCTCCGCCTCCGCCTCCGCCTCCTCTCTCAAACGTGCCTCACCCAACACTCTCCAACCCCGTTCCAAGAAACCCAACATCAACCCCATCTCTCTCTTTGGCTTCTCCAAGATTCCTCTCCCTACTACCTCCGGAAACACCTCACCCTCTGTCTCGGCCCCGGCTCCGGCTCGGACCCTAACACATCTCCGAGCCATCCTTTTCTCCGACGCTGCGTTTCTGATATCGGGACCCACTTCCTACACAAGTAGCAGCTGAAACTCCTCAGTCGCCTCAGTCACAGAATGCGAACATGGTGTGCCAGGGACTCCGTGTCGGCTGCGAAGTTTCCGCCTATACCACCCACTTTAAGGCGTCGTGTCAGACCCCAATCCGTCTCCGGCCCCTACTTTTTCCAGTTCATGCGACGGGGTGGGGGAGTACGATGTGCCTAAGCGAAGGTTCGAACTTTCTAATGTTTAATTGTCAATTTTTGCGATTTATTCCTGTAAAGGTTCTTGAATTGAACGTGGGGTTTTATGCTTCTATTGTCCGGTTAATAAAGATTTTTGAGTTCTATTTTATTTTTTAATGTCTAATTATTAAGATTCTTGATATTGAATTCATTGCTTATTGAACATGTGTGTTGATTTGATAAAGATTTAAGGGTTTTGAATTGATCTTGATTCGGTGTTTCATTGACATTGTTTTGGCAGTGGGCGAGGAAGGTTAGTAATTGTATGAAGGAAATAACTCGAAAATGGGATGAGTTGCTTGGTTCTGAAGAGATAAGGGCAGGGAAGAGAACCACAACCAGAACAACAGCAACAACGTTGAGAACAACAAGCATCAATGGTATTTTTTGATTGTTTAAATTCTATGTTAGTCTCTGTGGTGGCATGTAACAGAATAAATTTTTAAAGATTTTAAGTGGATTGTTCATTATTGATGCATTCAGGATAATTGTGGGGAGATTTTGTCGAAGCTGTCACGGTGGAGAAGGCCGGCGAGTGTTTGATTATCCATTTCAAGTGTCCTTGTGGCAGAGGATATAATTTTACTCTCAGGGAAGACCTGTTACTACAAGCTCATGTAGACAATCAATCAATCAACAATGAGAGACCTCATCAATACACTTATGTTTCAATTTTCTCTCTGTTTAGTTGACTTAGTTTTTCTTTTTGTATAATTTTTTGAAGATGGAGTGAGTTCTCATAATTCTGAGATTTTTTATGCTACCAACTGTTCATAAATAAGCTTCCTGTACCAGAGTTGTATAAAGTTGAAAGAAAAAGCAGAATGTTATATGCCTAATTGAAGTTTTTACAGAGGAATATTTTTAAATCACATCACAATATAATAAACAGAATTGAAGTTTAATCAATTTGGGGTAGCTGAAAGTGTTGATAGAAAGAAGTGATTTTGTTCTTTTATTATTTTGTAGTGTGTTATAACGTTTAGCCAGGACGGCTTTACATTGTTTCTAATACCACACCGATTTGGCGAAGTCATGTCACCGCCACAAGTTGGTTTGACTGTTTCTTCCAGATGGATTCTTCAATAACTCTTCTCTTTCTAAATAATTTCTACCTTAGCAATGCCATTTTATAGTATCATGTTCGATGTTGGATATCGCCTACATCCCGATGGCGATACATTCAATCTTATTAAATTGTCATATGGTTAATGAATTGTGACATGTTTACTTTAAAATATTCACATTTTGCTTTTGCTCTGACAAATTCATCTGCAGTACATCTGTTTTTGTATAGTTATCTGAAAGTAATTCCCAGTAATACTTTTATACGTAAAGGCAGACACCTGCGAACTGTACTTTCTGAACTATCAATAATTCTTGTAGTCATTGTAAATTAAATCCTGGGGATCAATTATTCTAAATACGAACTTTAGACAGTCATATCAGAACCTCAAGTGTTATACTATTGGAAACACTAAAAATATGAACACCAAGAGGAGTAACAGGTCCAGCTTATGCAGAGCTTGAACCACAGCACAGAACTAGCAGATTGTAGACAGCAGACAGCAGTTAATTCTACACAATTGAAAAGATTATCTTGTACTGATCAACTAGTTAATATAAAAACTTCTTATTTTGATACTAACCACTTGACTCCAAGTTTGAGGCAATCAAAATTTTTAAATCTCTTTGAAGACTATTCTTCCTACATGTCAAGTTGGAGATATTTAATTTTCCATCTTTATGGCTCCTGCCCTTGTTCCACTTGCTCAAAGTTTGTTTTCCAAATACATTTGAAGTTGAAATCATGATAATTACAGACGATAGGAACGCTTGAGTTTTTTAATTCAATGATCTCCTGAGAGGGCATGCTTGTAGTTACAAGAAACTTTATTGAATTATAAAATATACTGTTCCTTATTGAACTCTGGAAGTATAAATTTTGTGAAGGTACCTACATTTTTATTATACTGAGAAAAAAGAAACCAAAATGGTGTCAGAGATGCTACAGCATTTCATCTTTGCATTTCGGTATAGTTGCTCTCACAGTTCAGGTGCATGGCCAGAGTCAATCAGGTTAACTCAGTGCTTAGCTATCAATTTTCATTGTAATGTAATTATTATAGGCAAAGG